GTAACCTACAGCTTCTCTTTGATACGAGATCTGGAATTTTGGAAGGTTTTCCATGTTGCGCGAGTGACTTCAGGTGTCCCCAAGAGCAGAAGTCGGCCGGTGAACGAGGTGGCCATTCACAAAGAAAGTGACGTGAAATGATTCTGTCCTGAACGTGCTCATGTAAGACGTGTTTCACATAGTTACCAATATGCGGAGGGCACCATCCTGTATGAAAACTGTTACGTCTATCACATTCCGTTGTTATAGCATGGAAATCACATTCTTTATGAGCATTTGTAGACCATGTGTGGTCCAAGAACAAAGTCAGCTGTGAAACTACAACACAATCTAACGTTAACATCTTAGACACTTGTAGGAAATATTAAATATGGATTAGTTTGCAACCAGATAAATCAGCTGACCGTGTTGACACTTCCACAAAGGGCGAATTGTGTTTATTATTCATGTTTACAAATGGATACAAAGGCATCAATGAGACTATCAATGCTATTACAGGATCTTTTATTCTCAACGTTTCGACAATAAGTCTTTTAAGGCACCAAGATGTGACAATCTCCAAAGAAGAAGACTTGTAGTCGAAACGTTGAGAATAAAATATCCTGACAAAGCATTCATAGTCTCATTGATACCTTAGTATAGAATTGTGTTTCATCAGTCTATAAGATCTGGCAGACCATTGGTTATAGATTTCTAGTTTTACCAAAAACTGCAAAACAAAATCAATATTTCAGGTTAATTTCATTTTTCAAGTGCTTGAAAATTTTGCTGTTTGTAAGGAAACATCTGCAGAGTTGACCAAGGAGTTTCACGAAGCAGTGCAATTGGCCAATCCAGACACCGGGCGACATAACGTGCACTGTTGTACCAATGTGCACTTCTACTGGCTTGTTCTGCTACGGAATGGCTGATCTCAGCGATAGTTTCTGTAGCTGGCAGTGGACTATCTGTACGTATATTATCACAAGTGCAACTTGTTTTCTCACAATTTTTTTATCGGCAACAGCAACATTGGAGCAAAGCCCTTTGCGGATGTTATGTACCCTACAATATATTCTGAGAGTTATCTCGGCATTGTATCCATTGGTGTAGTAACATATTACTACTTCAACTCTCTGCACACTTGTAAATTTCATGTTGATTGAATGAGCTGCACTACGATAAAAAAAGCCCATATATATATTCATGTGAAAAAACCACAGTGGCGCCCTTGGTGGTAGCATGTGACAACTGATATATATGCATTTGCGTTATATTCTTAAAAACCCTATGCTGTTTCACCTTCCTATGCCATGCTGCTTGTGAAATATGACGTGAAACTTTCTTTATAGTCACTCTATATTTTAATACGAGGCTTCAATAACATGCTTATATTAAAATATCTGTGATTGTACTACAATGAAAATAAATGATGTACCTTTCGTTATATCTAATGATATGCTCATGGTTTGTTTGTTTCAAGTTAAGCACAAAGCTCAACAATGGGCTAGCTGTGCTCTGCCAACCACGGGTATCGAAACCCGGTTTCTAGCTTAATATGTTCATGGAATTTTGTGATTTTGTAAGTTCTTGTATGTTGACACAACATATATTTCACAATTAAGGTAAAATTAATATAAATGAATACAAGAAGTAGGATTCACTTTCTTTACGTTAAAGTATAGCACTTATATTATTACGTAAGTGAAAAAATACACAAATAATTAACGTACTTGTTTTCAGTCAGAAAATTAAAACTCAGTAATCAACGTTTAGAGGCTTTTGATAGTAAATGTAACAGCAAATTTTATACTCGCGATAAATCACGTCAACTTGAATTGATTATACTAGCAGGATAAAATCCCCGCTCTCTGCTGCAAGATTCAAAGATCCCCTTCATAATTCACAAAAGCCTCATTATACCGATCAAGCTCATCCATTCTCCCTAATTACTAGCTTCCCCAAGGGATATCTGTTCACAAAAACAAACCTTGTTAGAAAAACAGCCCGTGGTACCTTATCACATGTGCTACGCTTGGTCCAGATACCTGGGTAATACTATGAATGGCTCCCCTGGGAATCCAAGAGGGACTAGGAACACAAACATCTGTGCCAGATTCGGGTTCAGCGACACTGAAAACCTTGTTCTAGACACCCCCCCCCCACACACACACATTCATGGCTTTCCAAACCCATTTGATCACCTCTTGATATACTTTTTGTAGGGAGGCTCTATGATAGATTAGGGAATCCAACGGGTCCACCCTCTTGCCAAGTTTGGTTTTGCTAGCTCCAACATTTTAAGAGGAATTAGCAGACAAACAAACACACAGTGTGAATTAATATAGGGTTGTGAGGTATGACAGAAGATTAATCTCATTTATGTAGAAGTATTTTTGCTTATGAAGTTCATAATTACATGCTTAGAAATTAACTTTATGCTTCACAACAATTTCATTCCATTCATAATTGTATCTATTTTAGCTGCAATGTCATATTTATGATAACGACTTTTTGGAATCGTGATGCAATGAAAATATGTAAAAAGATATAAATATTCTAGTCTAATATATGATATGGTAATTTTTTTTACTTGTTTATACATATTTCATTGTTAAATTTGTTTTAACTGTTTAATGCCAATGAACACAAATGGAGATCTAACATTTTAGGTATAATGTATAGGAAGTAATTATTTAAATTAATGCTACAAAAGTTAAAAAAAAAACATGGACAAAATAGATAGCATAAAGTATAATGAGTCACTAGTGTGTTCGAGCGAGTCAGAGTCATTTGGGAACCAATAACTCGTGCTCTGAGTTTCTTGAGAATCACTTGAGACTAATATCTGCCCCGAGTCACTTGTGAGTCAATAACATGCGTTCTAAATTGCTCACAATTTTGTGTATAAACAAACAACTGGTGAGTCATAAGGGTGACTTCTGTATGAATTAACATTTTATTGAGCAAGGAATGATTTATAGAGATTTGACAGTAATTTAAGTTCTAATCCTCTGATGGTAAAAGTGTGTGTGGTAAGTTAGTCAATATAAATCAGGAATGTATTAATAGATGATGATCAAATATATTTATACAGGTAAGGCTGACTACCTGCAGTAGTCACGGAAGGGGTCTCTTCATATTCATTGTGTATTTCAATCGAATGAGTTGGAGGTGAACCCTTCATGACCAATCATATTCCAGCCCATACCAGGGCGCTAGCTTAACCAGAATAGCTACGCCACATCAGGAGGCTCATCCAATACGACACGCCCATAGGACGACATCTTGTCCAAGGTGGCTGCATTACCATTAGGATTCGTCCAATATGGCCATACCCATAGAATGGCGCCATCTTATTGAAGACTCCTATACCACCACGAAAAGATTCATCCAAAATGGCGGTGCCCATAAGTGGTTACAACCTTAAATATCAATAGGAAGTGACGCCATGACTGCGTCATGTAAGATGGATGTAACGGCACCCAAAATAACAGTCCGCCTGAGGTCAGAATCCCGATGTCAACCAAAGTAGCGTCACATAGCCTATATGATATCATTGGGTCAAGGTCATGGCAATTACAAATGGACCTAGTCTCCTGCCAATATTACTCACTTGCCCCTTCTGGAATGCTAACATTTACCATTTCAACATGAAAATACTGATAATTCCTAGGTTAAAATACTTGAGAATTCCTTTGTCTACTCGCGTAAATGTCATATAGTTGTATATCTGTCAAATTAAAGCACACCAGGTTACTTTTAAGTTCAAAATGATATGTCAGGGGCGCTGTTGTGACAGTTGTTGTTGTCAAGCACAAAATGACACAATAGGCTATCTGGGTAGCGATATCAGATTTATTGCACCGTAAGGCTGCTGACGTACCATTGAGTCATTGGGGATGTTGTTACAGAAGTGTTATGCTATGGGCGCTGTTGTTAAAGTAACTTAGAAGTATGCTAAGTAATATATTCTTGAGGCTGTTGTTAAAGTAACGTGGAATGGTGCCAAATGGATATAACTAAAATAGTTTCTAAACATATTAAAGTGTGCAAGTAATAACTTATGAAATCTCGGATGCGGTAAATTCTTCGAAACATACATTCACAGGCATTACATGTTCACTACATAATTAGCACTACATATTTTCACATACCACACTGGCTGCATAACGTTTGTTTAACTGTAATTCCCGTAAGAGCAGAAACATGAAACTAAGGTCACAATGCCGGTCAAGCGATATAACACCCCTTAAAGTCAATGACTACGACCTCACATGACAACTGAGCAAGTGATAAAGAGATCCGAGGCGGTGTTCTTTGATGTACCGGTCATAGTATAACACTTGTGACACTGATGCCCTGCTCAAATGCAAACAAATAAAATAAAATGAAATTCTTGACCAAGGCACAGTTTTACTATAAATAAAAATGAAAATTGTTTTGATGTGTTAGTCTCTGCCATCACTGCTATGGAGTGTTGGATAATCTGAAACGTCCAGAGAAGTGTGTTTAAAAGTGCCATCGACTGACCATTAGTCACTGTATACGAACACTGTTTTTTTGAGGAATTGATTTTCGAATATTTGCTTTCGAAGAATTGGTTTTCGAATAATATCCCGTAAACCATGAAATCTGGATCCATTGTAGCAAAATCCAAACAAAGGATTGGAGGCTACTAGAGCCTACTTTCATGGAAGAAAATGTTGTAGACAGTAGTAATACTTATCATGCCTATCAATAAGAAAGAACTTGTAAGACAGTTTTTTTACAACTAAATGATACCGAAAAGAAAATAACAACAGTCCTACTTATCATGCCTATCAATAAGGAAGAACTTGTAAGACAGTTTTTTACAACTAAATGATACCAACAAGAAAAATAACAACAGTCCTACTTATCATGCCTATCAATAACAAAGAACTTGTAAGACAGTTTTTTTACAACTAAATGATACCAACAAGAAAAATAACAACAGTCCTTTTTTTTATATTAGCTACGTATTTTAAACTCGTTCTCACCATCAGTTCCTCTACTTCTTCAACATCAGAATCATCAGTTAGTTCTGCCGCTCGGCTCCATACACCTTGTCGTGACTTTCCCGAACTCCACAGAGAACTCAAAACGGAGGTTGTCTTCTGTGGGGTTCGAGGTCGGGCCAGCCACTGGTGACGACGCTTTGCAGATACTGTTCTAGCCAGTGTAGGTTTCAGTGGAATCGGTGAGCTTTCTCCCACAGACATGTCTACAGGCATGTGAAAGAGATGTCAGAGCCAGTTTGGTTTCATGCATTATTATAAAACAAGTAATACTTATTTAATTTAAAACATATGTATATTTTTTTTCTTTGAAAAGATAAGATATAGGCGTTTAACTTGTTTATAAAATGACTGCCTCGTGATTTAACGTTTCTTAAATTAAGACTGTATGTGTATATATATATATGCTTTTCTTTATATAGTTTTCAAATTTTTTATCTGATCTCCCTTCATAATACTGATCTTCTATCATGCACAAATTGAAATTTTTTATTCAGTCTTTCAACGTTTTTATTTCGTAACCAATTCTATGAATTCATCATAAAAGTAAAAAAAAAAAAAAAAAGTCACAACCTCCAACAATCAACTGTAGTTGTATAGTACGGAACGAGCCCCGTACTTAGTTTTCATAGAAAGCACGCGTGGTGCACATGCAGGCACATTTAACTCGAGCATATCAGTTTCCAGCAAGGGGCGAGGCAGTTAATATGGAACAACTGAAATACCATAAAATACTCAATTTTTGTGTCGTACATCAGTATTCAGTTCAAATCTTCAGAACTTACATTGACATACTTTTCTGCTAACCCTTGTGAACAAGCATGTTGCGTGGAATAATTAATAACTATATGTATTCATGGAATCGCCTAATAATTTCATCTCACGTGTGATGTTGTACCATGAAATACAGCATCTACTAAGCATTCATAAGGTGGAAACTTCTGTTGAAATTAACATGTTGTATATTCATATATATTATAATTCTGACACACGTTAACATTATTATCAACTGGAGAAAACTATTTAAAAAATATATTCCCACCTATTTTGGCTCACCTTTTATACATCTCTGCTTCATTTTCAGTCTAGTTACGGTAAACCTTTGTCCTTTCTTTCCGGTCCACGAGAGACCGCCACTAGCAGAAGTGGTCCTGTAGTAGCGAGAAAGGAATTGAACCATGAAGTTCGGAGAAGCAGAGTAGAACTTTGTGACACTAGGAAACAGCTGTAGTTGAAATACAGCGCCTAAGAAAACAAAAAGTAATAAACAACGCAAAAAAATCCTTATTGTTTGATAATAGTCAAATGAAAACTGAAAGAAGGAATTGTTTTGATTGCATTTAGTGTTTTACATCGACAACTGTCAGGACAGTGGAATACATATTTGATATTAAGCCTTGGGTAATGGCTAATTCATTAGGTTAGTGAAACTCTAATCTTTGACTGCTTCACTCTGAAAGTACTATGTTTTTCTATGATTTTAAAGCAGTGATAAGACTGACTGTTCACATAATAATACCGTGGCTCTAAAATCTAAGCCCTAACCTTCTGGCGTGAGCAATAATTCTTGAAAAACTAGATGTGTTGAAGAATTATTTTATAAACAAATGCTTATTGAGGAAAATAAAAACTTTTTTTTTTAATCTGCGAAGTTTTTTGAAATTCTCACTTTATATTTCACACGAATACTATATAGGCCATTTATATAGTGAGAATATTTGGGTTCAGTGATTATTTGAACAATTAAGATGTAAAACTTGTCTTTATAGATTCGAATACATCAATTTTAGCTACACTCAGCATGCCCTTAATACATTTTGATATCATGTATCACGCATTACTGAATGAAACACGCATGGCTGCGAATCCGAAAGTCTAAAGTTCTCGCCGCATTGCCGATAAATACTTTCTTTACTTTCGGATGTAGGTGCGTTATAGAAGTAACAGTGAATCTCTTTATTCGGCTCAGAGCCGGACAAAACTAGCCTTGTGACGGCAGGTGCTGCTGACTGGTTACCTTTTCTCTGATCAGTAGTTCAAACTTAGGATCCTGGTCGTTTAGCCCAAGTACGCATAAAGTATCGTTCAGTGAAAATACCAATATCAGGAGTACATTCCTGTCTTTTATAGTTCTGTCCACACATCTATACTAGGCAGCCTCTAAGGAACAGCTATATAAGATTTCAGATTTCCAACACTGTCTTCGATATATTAAACAGGCGGAAAAAATTCACCTTATTAAATCCGTTAAACAGGTTGAGAAAGTTCACCGTATTAAATCCATTAAACAGGCTGAGAATGCTCACCTTATTAAATTTGTCATTCAAAAGGCTGAAAAAAGCTCACCTTATTGAATTCGTTATTAAACAAGATGAGAAAGTTCATATTATTAAGTCCGTTATTAAACAGGCTGAGAATGTTCATCTGTCTGACCTATTCTTACTTATAATTTTAAATTACTGGTGTTCCCCAGTAAGTCCGTGGTAACTTCATGGACTTCCAAATCTCAAATCCGGGGCTTGATTCCCAGCGGCGGGCAGAGCTCAGATAGCCCATTGCGTGGCTTTAAGATGAAACAAACAAACAAATCATTAGTGGGTGATACGCTATTTACAGTTCGTTTTGTTAGTCAACTGAATTCTGATTGGGTTGCTATTTTGTGCTTATATTGTTACCCAACCGAATCTTGTGGTCCAAATATTTGAATCATTGTTGCGTTATGTTCTCTATATTATGAGCCGGATAAGTAATGTTTTTCTGTATATTCAAAACGCTAACTGTTGGCATGCTTTCTGTTTTTATTATTAATCAACTTAAACTCGTGCTCAAAATATTTACATAGTTAATAAGTGAATTTTTCTGTGTTTGTGTTTTCTTAACTGGCTGAATCCACAAATTTACGAGGTTTCAGGGTTAACTACACTGTGTTTGGATTTTTAAAACCAATCGAATCCTATTATTCACACACTTACGATGCTGTTGGGTTACACACTAAATGTTGATTTTTTTAATGGCAGAATTCTGTTTTCCCGAATTCAAATCGTGATGTATTCGACAAATCACAAGACATGCATATGAGAAAGCATAGATAGAAATATATATAGATGTACTGAATGTAATATAGAATTGTGTATATTATATCAAACCCTAGATACAGTAAGTAGTTTTTGTTCAGCATACTAAGGACAGCAAACAAAGTGAGCTTACTGTCGAGGCAACGTTACGCAAACCACGAACTTTCGGATTCACAGTCCAACATGCTAATTAATAGGCCACGCCCGGCCTTACGTTTCACTTGCGTGTACTTAGTACACATGGAAAGTGATAACGTTCGACTGCTTGATTCTTCAGTCTAAATATCTGTTGAACGTGACGTCAAAAACACGCTCAATAGTTTTTCATTAAACGCGGATGAGACTCAGTTTTCCGTCTGAGAGGCAAGTGAACTACGTCTGTAATGTTACGTGTGACTTGAACTACTAGTCTTGAAAAAATACTAACCAGGTAACGTGATCAAACCACAAGAAGGTCTAGTTCACCCGGATTGTGCTTAATTAGTCTTACGAGTGTTAAGAATAACCTTGTGTTATTGTATTATTGATAATTTATAATGGTGCTAAATTGCAAATAAAAAGTATGAATTTATTCTTAGGTAACCTTTATATATATATATATATACAGCAGGAATTTTTTGTGTATTTTTCAGGAAAAGAGAGTACTTATATGAAAGGTGAAACAAAACGTTGATAAATAACAGTCAACAACGTACAGTTACGTTGGAGTAATAAAAGGTTACTCCTTATTTACAAGCGTACAGTAAGCTGTTGCTCGAGATGTGTTGTTGATTTACCTGTAAAGTCTGTCCGTTACAGAAATTACTAAATAGATAACTAGGCTGATAGATAAATATATGAGACAGAGCGATTGTTACAAAGTAAATAGGCTTGGAAGGAGATATAAAGATAAAAGACATAACCTAGATAAACTGATAGTCATATTTATCATTAATCAGTTTGAATAAATGCACGGATTCATATTAAACCGCTAACCAGTAGGTAAGCTTTAATTTAACCTTAATAAATTATGAAATAGTGTCACTTTAATTTCAACCTCCCTAAATTATGGAATAGAGTCGTTTTAAATTAATATAACCTCCCTACATTATTAAAAAGTGTTGTTTTAATTTACCATCCCTACATGATGAAGTAGTGTCTTTCTAATTTAACCTCCCTACATGATGAAATAGTGTCTTTCTAATTTACCATCCCTACATGATAAAGTAGTGTCGCTTTAATATAACCTCCCTACATGATGAAAGTTGATCGAAAGTTTTTGTAAAATGTTTCTTCGGAATGTGTTGAAGTTATTAAAATGATTTTGAAGGATATGATCAATTTAGATGAACAGTGATTCTGAATTGATGTAATTTTTATTAAAGTATTCTTATGAAACAGTTGTAGGCTATTCTTTGTTAACAATCCTCTCATTACTTGTTCTTTAGATCTCGAATCGTTGTATGCACGTGGAGTTCAGTTTGTAATGTTTGTTTGTTTGTTTTCACTGCTTAACATTTCACTATCTTGTAAATACAAGCATTACTATAATCATTAACCAACGAACTGGAATTATGGATTGTAAGTGTTATATGCATCGTGAGAACCATTCCAGCTGAACAAATGATAGTTTGTTTACTTATTGAACAATGCAGTTTGAGCACAGATGGCGTCAGAATAATTAACATTCATGAACAGTGGTTTCTCTACTTAGAGAAGAGATAATTATGTGTTAAAAAACAACAAAAGAAAACAGTCACCCCTTCATTCACGTGACGAGCAGTGTATGATATATATATATATATATAAACCGGTTAACAAAACCCCGATAGCTCAACGGTAGACTTGATAAGGGTTTAGAATGCTAAAATTCGGAGTTCGATTCATGCGGTTGGTACAACATAAATAGTCCATTTTGCAGCTGTTTGTTTAATAACAAATAAAAGAAACCAACATTTAAAGTACGTAGTAAAATAAAATCAAGTTTAATTTGATTGCACTGTCATGTTAATTACAGACAGTTAAAGTCCAAATTAAGATCCGAAGAACTACTAGTTCTGAAGTTGTATGTTTAAATAAGTTTAATCAAAACACGTAAATGATGGCTACTTCAAGCGTAAACTTTAAATTTTTCATGTGGTAACTATTATATACATAAACACATTTACATAAAAATAATCGTTTTGTACGTGGCTTTTTTTTTAATCTTCCAATGGGTATCTTTTAGAAGATCTGATGTCACGAGACATGGTTCCTCATTTTTTATTTCCTTCTTCGGGCTTTGACCTCTATTTCTAATACTGAACTATATCGTTTTTTATATATATCAATTGTTTTGCTTCATACATTATACAGTAATATTGCAATCTTTAGCGCCTATCTTTATAACTTTATTAACAAAGTTAATGAGTTGAAATTTCATTTGTAATCATATCAATTAAAAGAAAAGCGAAACTTATTAAACGACTCACGAAAAAGCAGCATTCTTCTTTTCCCCCTCTAACTATTCAAAGTAAGAGTACACTGCCGATGGTTCATGCACTGATTAACCTCATCGACTCGGCTAACAGTCTAACTCAAAACGGGTTGCACTTATACCACACAACGCGATAAAACAGACGATCGATGTAAGGGATTACCTGAGAAGGAGAGCTTTTATAGGCTCCCTGGACGCAACTTAATGAGTACAATCAACTAAGAAATTTCTTTAACGCTTTTTTATGTTACGTTGTTCAAGTAAAAGTCTGTCTCTTACTGCACGTGCGTTTCATTTCAAAATATTCACAAAATTTCAAAAAAAGATATATTATTATAATTGAAAAGATGATCGGAATACACCTACGAGTGGTCGTGTGCTTCAAAGATGCACGTTTCGAGCAATGTATGTTAAAACCGTGTGAGAATATGACGCTATGGTTGTGCTACCAATTACAGAGAAGAAAGTTGGAACAGGTAATTTTGATACTTACACATACATGTACAAAGGTTTGAGTACGTTATCTTAAAACTATTTTGAATTTACTATATAGTCACGATGGGATAGAATGTAATAGAAGTATATCTTGACATTGTTACATGTTTCGTAGGTAATGTGATGGTAGCGAAAAGTGATCACTTTTTAGGACGGGAATAAAACAGCCTTTTCCGACACAAAATATTCATATACGCAGGTCATTAAGGTGAGTTTAGATA